CGGCGGTGGCAGGACACGGAGGACAGCCAGGCAGCGCGCAGGGGACGGACGCATCCTGACCCCAGCGCATTTAAGAGCACGCGTCCGCAGGGAATTAGGGTGAAAGAAATGAATCTTCAGCAGCCACGCTCAGACCCATCTGTGCTCAGTCCAGCCTCGCAGTTGCCGGTTTCGACCCAAAATGACTCTTCTTCCCCTTCCCGCCCCCACGGCCCCTTTTTTCGGGTGCCAAAGGGAGCACGTGTGCGAGCAAATGCCTTGATCAAGGCCCAGCCCTGCCCGAGCACAGGGGCTGCAAAAGGCAGACGGGCTAAGGAGAGGCTGGGAGGAAAATATCCGAGCAAAGCTGCTCACTGCGTAACAAAGGGAAGGCGAGGCATCCCCCCAAAATTTTGGGAGCCAAACATCATCCACCCTGTCTGCCCGTTACCTGCAGCTCTCCTTGCAGCAATGCCACCGGGGCAAGAGCCCAGAGGAAAAAAAACATTTTATCGTTGGGACAAAACTCGGCTCTATCATCCCAAATAGACCATGGCACCTCCGGAGCCATATGCAGATGGGTGCTGAAGGATGCAAAACGATGCAGAGGGATGCAGAGGGGATGCTGTGGGATGCAAAGCCTTGCAGAGGGATGCACCACGCTGGGAGGCTGCACAGGGAACTGCCGATCGACGCTTTCCCACCAGTGGCACACAGCAAAGGAAGGGTTTAACCCAGGGACCCGGAATAGGGTGCTGGCGGCTGCTGCCCGATCCCTGTCTGTGTCCCAGAGCACAGGGACGACCCCAGGCAGGACAGGCTGGCAGCCACCGCCTTGGCTGTGAGATGGCAGCTCACGGGGGACCATGTTTGGAGGTGCTTAAGAGCCACGCGCCGTCCTCGGAGGCTGTGGGAGGGGGTGATGCCGCTTGGGGCACAGAGCGTCAGGCTGCTGGGGTGCACGGCCAAGGAGGTGGGGCTCCGGTCACAGCACACACCGAGAATTTTAAAGCCGAAATCACACTGCCCGGTCTCTGCTCAGCGAGGGGGGACAAACCACCCCCAAGTGCTTCTCACTTCCCTCTTGAGGGCAAACCAGGGTGGAAACTGCAAGTCTCCTGCTGCTATTTACAGAGGCAGGTTTCCCCTGCAAAACCCCGAGAACCAGAGGGCAGGGCTGGGACCGTCGCTCCAGGATCATGCTCTGCCACGCTCAAGCAGTGCAGACGATGCTGAAATCATGATTTCCTTTGCCGTCGGCTTTAGCTCTGCAGGCACACAGGCCACGGGCTCTGCCGTCTGCCCGGGGCACAGCGCTAGTGGGACGAGTCTGCACATGGACGGCCACCAGTTACATGCAGCCAAAGGTGTATTTTCCCTCCAAGCCCTTGCACCGTGCAACGTCCCCTCCCAGCCATGCCTCTGCCTTCCCGCTCCCTCCCGGGACCCTCCACAGGTCTTCCCAGCAGGAGACTCAAGCCCAGCAATGATCCCGTCCTTTGCATCAGATGCACGTGCAGAGCCACGACACGTGGCACAGCATTGGTGCTGCAGTGTCCCTTGTGGCCATGGTGTTCCTCCTCTCCCAGTCCTCGCTCCAAGCCCTGCGGTTCGTCGGATGGTGCCGACGCTGGTTCCCTCCCTCCCATGGGAGCTGGGACACGATGGGCCGCACGCAGCTACTGCAGGGCCGAGCAGCTGCGAGGCGCTGGGTTCCTCTGCTTTGGGCTTTGCTCCCCGTGAGCAGGTTCAGCCTCCAATGTCCCCGCAATGGACACAGAGCGCTGCACCCTGCGAGCGGCCTTTTGGGTCTCTCTCAGTTGCAGATCACCACGGTAAACACAGAGTAGGAGTTTTTGAACTGAACGGAAAAACCTTGACGCTGCCCTGCTGATGTTTATAGAAAGTAACAGGTATTGCTTCTTCCTTCCCCCTTCAGCTACTTCTGCAGAAAGGTCCCGCCGGGCTGAGCTGAGTCACTGTCCTGCCGCGTTCCCAGCACCCCTCGCCCCTTCCCGGCAGCACGGCCACGGCCACGGCACAGCCCTGCCCAAGCACCCCTGCGGGAAAGGGGGAGAAACCTCCAGAAA